GGGGGGGGGGTGGGCGGCACACAAGCCCCCAGCCCGTCTGCTCTCTCCCCGGAAGGTGACCTGAGCATCATGTCCAGGGACCGTGCAAGGCGCTTTTGGACAGCGATGCCCGAGGATGCTTCCTGCTCGCTCCCGCTACCCAGACCCCCAAAGCAGCCCCTGCCCCTCGTCCTTGTGCACCTGGGCTCTCCAGCTCCTCCCTCGCTTGTCTAAGCTCAACGGCCTCCCGGAAAATTCCTTTTTTGCTTGCGACAGTCAAGTTGGATTCCGTTGCTTGTGACCAAAGCACCCTCGTGGATGGATACGGAACTCTCTCCACTAATAACGATTGACCTGGACTATACCTTTAACCCCAACAGTCTCAGACTCCAGGAACCTCACGTGATATAAATTGCAGCACCACTAAATCTACGTTTAGGAGAAGAATAAGGAAGACCCAGAAGCTATAGACGGAAAGGATTTAAAACTGCGGTAGGTCGCATTATGGCCTAACAAATATTCACTCCCTTCCTTCATCCTTGGCGGGAGATGCAGGCCGACCCGCCCTTCCGTGTTGAGCTTGACTATGTTACTTGCTTTGTCCGGTGGAATGTGGCTGTGAGAACATGCCAGTCCTGAGCCCAGGCCCTGAGTCCCCTTGTGTTTCTGTTCCCTCCCCAACGGAAAGACAATGTCCTGGGAAGAGTGAGAGTCGCGGGTGACTCTCAGTCACGTGAGAGCCGACCTGAACCCCGCTGGCCCCCTGGAGCCACGCTCGGTCCAGGGAAGCTAAACCCTCGACAAGCTGCAGACGTGGGAGTAAGAGATAAGCACTTGCCACAGAGGTTCGGGTCTGTTTTGTTACGCAGCATTATCATGGCGGTGGCTAACTGATACAGATTTTCCCTGCTTTCCGACAACTTTAAGCCTAATAGGTCCGCTTGGCCCGGGGAGGGGCTAGTCAGGGTCTTACCTGCCACCTTGACCTGGTTGGAGGCACAGGCTCTGCAGGGGAGCACCTGGAACTCTTCTGCCTGGTACATGGAGTAATCGGTGCTGGCGACGACCAGCGTGTCTCCGGGCTTCCACGACCGCACATCGTCCTCCAGGTTCAGGATGGTGCTGTTCACGTTGGTGTCGATGGTGACGGTGAGTCTGGGTCTCACTGGAACCCCAAACGGGAGGGACTGAGAAACGGCCCTCGGTCCTTGGCGAACTTTTGACCTCCCGCCTCCCCCCTTCCCCTCCCTAAATAAATGCTAGGTTTGCCTATCCAAACCCAAATCGCCAGGCTCAGCCCATCCCAGGCTCGGTACAGGTTTTTGAAGTCAACAAAACCTTACCAGAAAAGAGCCGTTCATTAGCCCTGCCAGGGGAATCTTCCACCGGCTCCTTTGCGAGAGTTAAATGCGGTCCCTCACCACACCCACTCTGCTCAAGCTGCACCACAAATATAGTTCCCCTCAACTAGTATTTACAGTAGCCGTAAGCCCTCCGCCCCACCCCCCGGGAGAACTCTCGTCCCTAATGACTGCCTTCTGGACGGGGCCAAGGGCCTCCACGGACCGGCTGACCATTTCCAGGCCCTCCTTACAGGCAGCTCGGGATCCAGGTTTAAAATAACAGCACCCAGAGGCCGTGAGGTCGCGCCTCTGCGGGGAGGGGGGGGGGCGCAGGGAGGTCGGCTCTGTCCCCCGCGCCCTGGCTTTCTTGGACCAGGCCCTTCCCCTTCCTGAAAGGCATTCGGGCAGGGCGGGGCTCTGCCGGCTGCTGCCAGCTCCCAGGACCGTCCCCCGGCTCCCGTGTCACAGACGCGCTCCCCACGGCGAGCTCGGCAGTGGCCCCGTGTCACCGCCACGCGCAGAGGCGGCCGACCCAGCCACACCCCCGTCCCCGGCAAGCTGCTTACCAGGCTTCCCGCAGAGGAACCGCACGCGGTAGCCGTGGCAGGGGCGGCCCCGGTCGTAGCACGCAAACCTGTAATCCTGGCCTTTTTTGTGGACAACCTCGGCGGTGAGGTTAGCGCCGTCCAGCGTAGTGGCCTGGAAACGGCACGGAAATTACAGGGCAAAATCATCTTTCTTTTCGTATGGAAGGAGGGTGATGATTCATGCTATAGACGTATTGCCCCAAGCCTCAGAGTGCCCCTGCTGCAGATGCTGTTTGCTGCGGCCCGAGACTTTTCTTCCAGGGACCAAGTGTCACTTTGGTCGCAAGAAAACGGTCTTGTGACAAGGAGAACGGCGCAAACTCGCAGGATGGACGGGCGCCCCGCCCGGGGTCCTCGGGTCCTCGGGGTCCAAACCCCTGACGGCCCCGCCGGCCGCTGGCTGAGCCGTTACGGCCTCTCCACGGTGACACGGCACTTTTTCCGGAGCCCCTCACGACCCGCATGCCAGCCCTGCAGCTGTGCGCTCCAGAGGACGGGCTCTGTCCAAACTCTTGGCGCCCCACGTGGTTCCGCATCATGGAAGGGGGGGAGCCCGGGAAAATCTGGCGCGCACGACCTCCCTCCTCCTCCCGGGCAAGCCAGGAGGGCTCTGGCTTTACGGGTACCAAGGCGGACACCCAGAGAGGCTGTGTGACCTCCCCGGGGCGAGCCAAGCCAGCGCGAAGCAGAGCCGAAATTCGAACCCACACCGAGCCCGTGCTTCCCCCCACCTCCCGCTGCTGCCCTCGGGCGAGCCGCCCTGTGTGCCTTGCTCTGCGTCCGTCTCCTCCCGCCGGACCCCGGGCTCCGGGGAGGGCAAGGAGCCGGGCTCTGCCCGCCTCCCGGCCCAGGGCTTGGCACACAGTGGGGTCTCGGGGATGGGCACGGACGGGCGGG